AAATAGCTCCATGTGGATGCTCCGGAATGAACTTTTACAGGAGAGCTATTTTAGACAAAAGGCAATTTTTACAAAGCAACCATTTAGGGCATTATTCTCAGATTTCCCAGGATTTTTTTTTTAACACGTTTGCCAAATCATTTTAGATACAAGCTGCCTAAACATTCAAGATGACTTATTAAAGATGATTATCCTTGAAACTCAGGCCACATTCAGAACATTGAGGGGATAATTTCAAAAATTTCTATGTGTGTGTGTTTTTCTCCCCTTTATTTTTTATTTTTTTTAAATTCATCAATTTTTTTTAATCATAAATGTTCACAGTCTTTTGTAAAGAAGTGTACTTTATTCCTATTTGCCCATAAATGTTGTAACCCTGCCAGTTTGTATACTGGAGAAAGCAGGCAAAGGTTCTTTGTATGTAGAGCTTCATTTCCAGTCCCTGAGACAGATGGCTGAAAGGTTCTTGGATCCTCACTGTGGTTCTCGGCACACTTTGCTTGTGTGCACAGGGTCCTGTTACCACACGAGTCCTTGGACACACTGATAAAGAATGAGAAATCAACCAATGTCATAGATTTCTGAATTCCTTGGAATTAAAGTGAGTTTTCTGTATCCTTGTCCACTCCTTTAAAAGCTAGCACACTCACATGACCCCCAGAGGTATAGCTGTCATCAAGCAAAGCTATGGCAGGAACCCATACTGAGGCACAGGCTGTCTAGGCAAACGTCTCTTCTTTACTATCAATTGATAAACAACCATCCCATACCACTCCCCTCAAAATGTCCTGGACACACAGTAGAAGAAATGTGTATCCACAGGACTGAAGAACAGCAATCACTTCTGTGCCTCACTTTAGCCAATCTATTTCTCCCTTTACTGGAAAAACCTGTGCCACTTCATCTTATTTCTCAGTGTAGAGCCTTTTCTTAAGAAATTCTCTGAGAGACAAGCACTGAAAGCCACCACAGACCAACACTGTGGATGCCCAGGCTAGGATAAACGTTGGGTCTGTGCAATCATGGAGCTCTCTAGCCATCTTCGTGACAGGGATTGCTGTCATTTCCACTCGTGGACTTCTGGTTTGTTCTAGAATCTGCTAGTAGCGGTGATACTACTGCTTGATATGCTTACCGGGAAATGTGAGAACAAGAACAACAGTATAGTTGGGCCACCCTTTGCACATCAACTTGATTGCCGCTTTTTTGCTGTCCGTATGGCACACATTTTTACAAATCAAGCCACATCTGTATGAATCTAAGGTGCTGATCATTGAACACTTCTGTAGTACTTTTCGTAAGGAGAAAAAGATATAAACAATAGTTTATCTTTTCAGTAAATTCTTACATTCATGTCTGTAACTAGGATTGAAATGCATGCAAAAGCAAGGAGTGGACTGATGTGGGGAAAATGGGATAATTATCCTATAAGCACATGTATGAATGCATGCACACATACACACATTTTTCTCACTTGTCTATTTTTGTCAAAAATAGCTAGGATCCTGGAATCTTGATCATTGTTTCAATTATTTAATTTCAAATGTTTACATGAGATAAGAACCCAAGTTTCTGTCTCCTTTTGGAGTTCTCCTGTTTTTTGGTCTGTTCAATCCCAGAGCATTCTGCAGAGAGTCTGGAATTAATGCTTGTGAAAAGACAAAATATGATAAAAATTCAGCTGCTTGTTAAACTCTATTAGCATGAAGCTCGTTAAGCTCATTGGCATTATCGGCCCTCCCAAGAGGATTCACAGCAGCCTCCGCCTCCACCTGGGAGCACAGGCTTCCACATGATTTCTTTTCTTGTCTGAGTTTTACATTCTTTCTCACTTTATTGTTTTCTTTTGGCTTTTGTATTCAGGGCACAAAAATTCAATTTCTTACATTTAACTGCTCAATGACTTTATGAACACAACAGCCTATGAAACAAACAATGTGCTTCAAATCACTCTTAATTTCAGTGCACCTGATGTTTATTGTAACAAAAGCCTGCGTGAATATCTTCATAGCTATAGATAGAAAAATATTAGCTTATTACCAAAAGTTAATCCATGAGCATTTATTTAGGATAAAATCAATGTATACACATACACAAAATATATATTATACACACACTGTCACATATATTTGGCACTTAACAGCAACATTATAAAGTTAAGCTTCTTGTGCAAATAACCATGCTAAGTACCATGAACGACAGAGAGATGACTAAGATACAGCTTCTGACTTAAAGAACTTACACTTTAATGGAGAAGATATATAATCCACTAATGACGTTCTATCCTAGAATAAAATTGTGGTCATGGCACAGAAGAAAGCGTAACCAAGTCTGAGGAAAGACAAAGTGAACTATTCCCGTCAACAGCACCGTCTAGGAAACCCTGTGGGACAGTTCTCCTCTGTCACATGGGGTCACGAGGAGCAGGAATTGACTTGACACCATCTAACAACAATGCTGGCTGGTTAGAAAACTCGTAGGCCATTTTCTCAGAGGAAGGAAATTTATGGTGAGTGAATGAGCATAGAAAAGAATAGCCTGAGTAAACCAAGGGAAGGTACCTCACAGTGAGGGACTTGCTTTGATTTCCCCAATGAATTGTTTCAGTTAATGATCAATTTGTTAGACTAAGATGCCAATTTAGCCATAGTTTCTGGCAATTAACTTTCAAGATAAATTACATTTTATTCATTTAGATGTTAAAAACAAAACAAAACAAAAACAAAAAGCCTTAGCTCTCCCAGTCCAAAAAAATGCTTCCTTCCATATAATAGTCCAGATGGCCTAGTGGTGAGGAGCTGCAATACAAACCCAAAGGCACATGGTTCAAATCCAGCTGTTCTTGTGGGAAAACAATGGGCAATCTCCTCTTGTGCAGTTTATTGCTCCTGAAAACCCACTGAAGGGTCAGCTGTGAGGTGGTTCCAACTTGACAGCACATAACAGCAGCAACAATAATACCAGACAAGTTTTCCTAACAGGATAGTTTGTGGGTAAATCTGTGTAAATTATTGGAGGTTTCTCATATTGTCTATTTTGGATTTCCATAGAAAGGAATGAGTTCAGTTTCCCTACTCATAAATGAAAGTCAGATGTTATTATGAACACCCATATTTTAAGCAGACCACCAACTCCCGCATTTCAGTACACTGGATGCCACGTATTTTTCATTCTCCTTTAAAGTGTCTATTCAAACACACCTCTTTGTCATATGCTGATAAATATTAAAATAACAGGAAAAATCTGCCTGACTTATTCAAGCTGATAATAAGAACAAAACACAGGATGTGTGTCTCCCCCTTCCTTTTCTGACCATGGTTAAACGTTAAGAAGATTTTGAAACCTATAATTACATAATAATTGGTTATCGCTACATTTTCTTCCCAACAAAAAGCCCGGAGTTTTGTAGTTTGCCACAAAGACAGGCAGAAAACAAATTGCCTAAGTGGTATTGTCATTCTTTGTTCCATTGTTTGAAAAAGGATTCAGACAAAGAATTTCCATTTGCCAAGCTGTAGTTACTGAGCCAATAATCGCAGGCTGGCCTTTGCAACCGAATCTTTGGCTAATGAGTTAATTTATAGTACCACAAATTTCATGTATTCATCTAATGTTTGTCAGTATTGACTACAAGGAAAAGAAAACAGTTTATTCAAATTGATATAAAAAATACCTTAGTAAATTTGGTTAATAGCAATGTAAGCATAGATCTCTGGTGGACCAGTATGACGAAATGATGGGAGTTACAAAACCACCTCCTTTGATCTCCAAGTATGTATTTACATGCTAAAACATTTTATTTTGTTTCTTTTGCTACAACTTCAAAAGAAAATAGTATACCCCAACAGGCTAGGCTTTTGAAATCTACAGATAGATGACTATTTACTCTCCACTCCCCTATTTTTTATCACATGGTTCTAGAATGAGATTCTTCTTTACTTAAGATCTTTCCTCACTTTTATTCTTATTCTCAATCTTTCTCCAAAACACACAAAATATTCTTAAAAGCATGTACCATAAATACTTCAGACACCCATGGGCCAATGCAATCTACAGCCTTTGTTCCTTGTTTTGAAGAATTGGGCTTTTTGTAATATTTGCACTATTTTTATGGACATGATACAAGCAAGAGAACACAACCACCAAAAAAGGAAGGTCACAAGTATAAAGAAAAGAGTAGTACTTCTGGAAATAGAAAAGTGTATGAGGCAATGCAAGGTATTGGGTGATGTAAGTATGAGTTCATCTTAGTTGTTTTCCTGTTGTTTTACTCAAATCTACGTCTTCATCATTGGGGACAGATTGAAGGATGAATTCAACGACCATCACCATTGTAGACTTTTAAAAGTGTCAGTAACTCATTGCATTTTATATTAATAATTTATGTCTAACACATCCACACAGCATTTCTTCAAAGTAGCCCTTTCTCTTGGAAACACTCAAATCTACATGTAAAGTCAGTGCATCTTACTGAACCATGAAAGGCTGAATTTCCTTAAAAAAACACCTTTGAGGAACAAGTTTGGGTGACTTCCAAGAGCAATCATCTATGACCTGGTAAAAGCCTTTGGTTTCACACCTAGAAAGGATGTAGATTCAAGTGGGATCTCGAGTTGATGCTAAGAGGAAAACCACTAACACAGCCTGTTGGGAGGTTGTCTGGCCAAGGTGGAGCTCCTTGAAGTTGGTCCTCAAGGAGCTAATTGGGGCCAGCAAGCTAAGGTTGAGGTTTATGGTCAATATAGACTGCCTCTTGCTTCTCTTCTGAGAAGCGACATTACCTATCATATTCTGAAGGTAAGGCCTACTGGGAAATTTTTTAATACTTCTTTCTGTTTGGTTTCACAAGAAGTTTCTTTATGCTTTTGAAAAAGAGTCACCAAGAGACATAACTTTCAGGACTGGAAAATGCAAGCGAATGCTATCATTCCACAAGAAGCTTCTGAAGACAAGACATATTTACAATATAGCATTGAGATAGACCTCATGACATGGCCTACCTTGTAGGTTGACTCTGGAGGCTGGAGGCTGACTGGCAGCAGGGGATCTCCTATGAGACAGAAGAGAAGGCCTGAGTGTATGTATTAATGTATTAATACCACCTTCCCTCCCCCCTCCCAAGTCCACCACTGAGGAGCTTTCCAGGTTAAAACTGAGCCATGAGTGACATAATGCCAGCTCCGGAAGGCAGGTTCCTGTGATAGCTGTAGATGACAGCAATTCTGTCAAATCCAGATGGTCTGGAATTCCCCTAGGCATTGATTGCCTCAGGATGATCCAACTCTCCAGGAAGGAAGCCTTTGACTAGAGGTCCCAAACTAACCTAACTAACACGTTTTAGATTTTGCTGGTCCACAACGTCCTTAGAAGAGGACATTTTTACTCAAGAATCACACCAACTGTCAAAGTGAATCTCAATTCTTTGGAGAATAGAACATCACAACCATAGACAGATAGAACCAGAGAAGTACTCAGAGATAAATCAATCTAAGCTCTGAATGTTACATCTGGGGTGACTGATTACCTGATGGTTGAAGTCACTTGCCAAAGGTCACACAACAATGAGTGACTGCACGGTGTTGTTTTTTCACTGAAGGATTATCCTATATAATAGCAAAGCTGCTGCATCAGCCAAATGACACAAGCAAACAGACCCGTACTCCATAAGTACTGGGGCTTCTCCTCTCTTTTCTTTATTTTCACAATCTACACCTACTCCTAATTTTGCTGCTTCCACTAACCTTCTCAAATTTGCAGAATTCTGTTAAACTCTCAGGAAATCTCAGTTCCCTGGATTGTGACCTGGTAAAAGACTTTGGTGAAAGCTGAAGAACTTCCTGGAAAAGCACAGAGCGGTGGCCCTTGAGCTCATGGGTGTTATCAGAATGACTTATAGGAGTTGATTAAAAACCATTGTGGAAACCTACACCCAGAGGTTTTGGTTCCAACTTTGAGACAGGGTTTGCTAATTTGCATTTCTAACAAGTCCCTGGTGATGCGTATGCTGCTGGTTGGAAGACCATATTTTCAGAAGCTCTTGTGCAGAGGACTGTGCCTCACTGAGGATCAAAGTTACAAGTGAGCCTGAGTCACTCCGTAGGCCATTGGCTGTCAGACATGGATTAAAGTTCAGACACACGTGGGAAGCCAGTACATATTATTCTGTGCTTTTATCCCTGGATAGTATATTTCAGTGTATTTGGGACTCCTGGGAATTTGTGCTTTTCACCTCTTGCCCAATATGATATACAGACAAATTTCAGAAAACACCCAACTTCCAATGGCAAGGGAGTGCTGCAAAGGTTTACTAAAGAAGGGTTTTTATCCTAGTATGGTCACAAATCTATTTTTCCTAGAATTTTTAAGTTCCCGAGTCATTTTCTGGTGACCGAGTGGTAAGGTGTTACACTGCCAACCCAAAGACATGTGGTTCAAATCCCCCAGCACTCCAAAGGGGAAAGATTGAGGTTATTTGCTCCTGTGCTATTTGCTGCCTCTGAAAACCTGCTGAACATCCGTTATAAGATAGTTCTGACACAATGGCTTGTAACAGCAACAACAACAACTAACAAATCATTTTCTAATCCCTTAGGAATAGTCTAGCTTCTAGGTAACCACATCTCACAACTATTGGGCCTTGGAAACAGGTTTGACACTTAGCATGAACTTACTGGCTGGGCTATTCCAAGGCACTTTTAGTGACATAGTCTTTTTCATGCATGACAAGGAAAAGAAAATATCACATAACAACTGCTTTTCCCTGCTAGGCAATGTTGCAAGTACTTTATTGGGAGTGTTCTCACTCATTTTGAGGAGGAGACTGAAGCACAAAGGGGTTAAGCAGCATGCTGAAACACACATGGTTTATGATCGGCAATGACAGCATTCCAGGCTAAGAGTCTGAATCAACATTGCCTGCTCTTTCCACTGTGCTATGTGTTGATAACACCTGCATTAACACTGAGGGCTGTTTTCAGAAAAATGAAGAGATACATTCCAAACTCCTCTATCTTTAAAAAGTCATATAGTCTATGTCCTCTGCATACTTTTCCCAGTCTTATCTCTCAGAATTTCTCCTCGTCTGAGATTTCATTTCAAATCACTAATTGGCTATGTGTTCTTCTTAGGCATCTTGGACTTTGCCTTTATAATAATTTTAAATTGTAATGAAACTAAAAGTCTTGGCCTTGGAATAGTACAAGCAGCTTGTAGGACCTAAAGGTTGGTGGTTTGAACCCATCCAGGAGCACTATAGAGGAAAAACTTGGGAATTTACTTCTATAAAGGTTATAGCAAAGAAAACTCACCCTGTGGAACAGTTCTGGTCAGTAGCACAGGGAATTGATTCAATGGCAATAGAATTGCTTTTAGTTTTGTAGGAGCAAATATTTAATACTTGGCTGTGGCCCAAAGTGTGGGCAGCTAGAATTCACCTTTAGGGTCAGAGTAGCAGAAAGGCCTGGCAATCTACTTCCAAATGATCACAGCCATGGAAAGCCCTTCAGAATACAGTTCTACTCAGACACAAATGAGAGTGCCAAGAGTCAGAATTAACTCAATGGGAATTGCTTGCTGTTTACTTTGTCTTAAGTTACTGTTGAACATAGAAATCCTTAGCTGAAATGTAAACTTTATGTGGAGAGGGAAAACTTTGTCCACTACTATACCTTGACACCCAGGACTTTTGTGTGTGTGTTTAGTTTTTTCCTTTTACTTGTCATTCAACAAATACTCTTTGAATGGATAAGCACCTGAATTAATGAGTACTAGAACTCATATTGTGTTCCGTCCTCATCTGATTCTTCTTTTTTCCTAAAAAATATGCAGCATCATCCTTGCCTTTGCTTACACCATTCTTCGTTCAGGGTGTTCTTCTCTCACAAATCCACACAGCCAAATGTCACTATCTTACAAAGGTGAAGTGTCATCTTCTCCAAAGTATGTTATCTTCTTAACTTAAAATGAACCCTTCTCAAAGCTCCAGGAATGATGCTTTATTTGTAACTATAGGATCATTTATTCATGTGAAAGTTTGGGCAAGTATTATCTATGTTATTAGTCCTCATTCTGACCTCACTAGTATCTGGATTTAAGTCTGATTATTTTCCAAATGCTTCACAGTACCCACAAATCAGCCCAGTGGAGACTCCATGAATATTGGTAGATCACTGAGAAAATGAACCATTGATAACATGAATATTTTAATTGTTCCCCTTTCTTCATACAGAATTGGTTCTATATAGTACATGCTACCCTAAACACAGCATACTCTTTGCTATACCTTTGCATAGGCTTTGCTCAGCGGAACACTTCTAACCTTCTCTTCAAATAGCTAGCTCCTTTACTTGTCCTAGGACTATCTTCAGACATCATGTCCTCAAAAGAGCCTTTCCTCCTATGAGGTATATGTTCTCTAGGCTGAACCACCATAATAGCATTGGTCATACTATATTGCAATTCCATTTTCCTTGTCTGTCATCTGTCTTATATACTTAACCTGGAATCTAGCATGATAATCTTGTATGATGAAGACATTCAATATCTATTCATTGTATTAATAATACACTCTTGATAGTTTTACTTTATAGTCCTTCTCGGTTTCCAAAGAAGGCTTTTGTAAATGAAGACATATAGTAAGAAATCCTTAGAAAATGGAACTCTGTTGGTTGTTAATTAACCAACCCTTCACAACACCCAATTCTCCCTATTATTTGTTGGGAGTTATATAGTTACACATGAATATGATAGTTTTGGAAAGGCAGAGAAATCTTGCCAAATTGGTTTAGCATTTATACTCAAGACCTAGTGGAAAGAAGGGGCTCAATACATTTTAAATGAATGGTTGACTCCTGGAAGCTGTTTTACTGCTTATAGAGAATGTCAGATAGGGAATTTTGATGAATGCCAGAAGAAAATGGTGTTGATCTCCCAGTTTTCAATGACTCATAAAAGAAGTATAAGACGTTTTAAAACAGGATTGCTGGAGATGGCAATATTAATGTTATTGGTAGATGCCATCAAGTTGACCATGACTCATAACAACCCTGTGACAACAAATCTGAACCTTGTCCTATCCTGCAACTTCGTCACAATCACCATCATGCTCAAGCCCATTGTGTCAATCTATCTCTTTGAGGGTTCTCCTCTCTTTGTTGGCCCTTCTGTCTTTCCTAGGATGATGTCTTTTTCCCAAGGATCAGCCCTTCTTGACAACATATCTGAAGGATGTGAGATGTAGTGTTCCTATGTTTGCCTCTAAAGAGCACTCTAGAGTCACTTCCTCCCAGAGATAGCGGTTTGTTCTTTTGTCATTCCATACTATATTCCTTTAATGGCATTTTCTTACATGGTATATTTTTCTCCAACACCACATTTCAAAGGTGGTATTAATAGGAAGGATAATATGTCTGCAGAATGAGTGCTTTCCAGCCTGAATAGCTAGCACAGTGGAGACAGACTGCACCGTGGATAAGACTGAAGCCCTAATCCTGGTTCTGACACCTTCTAACTGTGTAGCCCCGGGCAACTCTCTGAGCCTCTCAGCTTCTTCATCACACGGACAGAATAAGCGGTAACTAACGTTTACTGTGAATTTACAATGTGCCAGGTCCTATGTGAGGAGAATTGTAAATATATTTCCTCATTACTCGGGAAGTTTGGCTGGGTTCTTTCCCTCTCTGGATGCTAAGGATTTTAAGATTCTCTACGAATTTCAACGCACTGCCAAAGCACATAAAGCAATGCGAGATCGTTCCTATACACATTGAAAAAAAAACACCAAAGAAATTAAGTGGTTACTAACTCTTTCCCAAAGTTTGCATAATTTCTGATTAAATCATGCTTTGGAAAAAATGTGAGCACTGAGGAGACTTCCTGATGGTCTCATGTGACATCAGTGATGTGCATGACCAAGGCTAGTAATGGAGGAGGAGAAGTCTTTGTTTCCAGCTCCAATCTCTGGTTGACTGACTGCTGAGTATGGGCTCACTCACTCACACACCTGGTTTCTGCATTAGTCTGTCTGAAGCCAATAAATGCTTTAGGGATGCT